TTATCAAATATTCTTGAATGTTGTTTCTACCTTCTAAAGCATTAAGCCTCCTCTCAACTAGATTATGTCATCTACACATTTGCCAAGCATTCCATTCCAGATTTCATCCCTGGAAAACCCTTAGTCTGAAACTTTGAGAACAACTTTCAATCAGTCGGACGAAGCAATACAGGGAAAGGCCAGACTAAGCAGCTTCTCATGCTTCCTGCTTTTTTCCTGACAAATGATGTGCGGCTGTCACATTTATGGGGAAAAAAAGATCATAACTCAAGAAATATTATTCAACTTCACAGAGAGAAATGGACAGTTAGGTGCACAAGGTACATGGACATTTTATATTTCCTCCCCTTCCTCCTCTTCCTCCCCTTCCTCCTCCTCCTCCCCTTCCTCCTCCTCCTCCTCCTCCTCCTCCTCTTCCTCTTCTTCTCATTCTCCTCTTCCTCCCACTCCCCCCTCCTTAAAGGAGATGTTGGCACTAAGCACAAAGTTTTATATTCTTTTTTTATACCATAAACTAACTCAATGTACTGTACCTTGTTAATGTTTAATTCTTTTTTTTCTTAATGTTATATTGAGGACCAGTTGTAAAGCTGTAGTAATCCCCTTTATTCACTTATCAACATTATTTCTTGATATCGTATCTCTGTTGCAAATTAGTAAATCTATAAAATGACTTCGCCCCTGCTGGTGAGTTCTGTTAAGGCCATGTCCATGTTCTAACTAACCCTGTGTAATATTAGCCCAGCGTCTGTTACGGAATGTCCTCCAATATTTTTTCCGAAGGATAAAATACCATTTCCCCCTCTTGCCCTTGACTTTCTAAACAACCACTTTAAGCACATCTTCTGACTCCTTCCCTATTTCAATTTAATTTTGATTTTTAATTTTTTTTTGGCTCTTATTATTTTATCTCTATATAAAATGCAAAGAGAAATAGAAATGGTAAATTAGGGGAAGGGAAAAGAAAGGAGAAAAGAAAATGTAATGCACAAGGGGGGGAAAGTGGAAAAAATGTGTGGACTTCCGACTCTTTTTAGCACAACGTAAGATTAAAAAAGATTCCAGCTTCAACTTTTCGCTTTAACACATTAATATGTAACTAGCCATTTCTATAATGACAAATCTATCTAATCAGTGGTGGGTTTCAAAAGTTTTGAACCTATTCTGTGGGTGTGGCCTCCTTTGTGGGAGTGGCTTGCCGGCCATGTGATCTGGTGGGAGTGGCTTGCCGGCCATGTT